ACAGAAGGCCTTTGTTCACCCCCCGGAGCCGTGTGAGACACTTTTTTTATGGATGGGCAATTTTTATTTAACTTCTTTTGGACTGATGCATGCAACACCCGCTGAGTGGCATTAAACAGCTTGAAAGATCAAAGACAATTTTTTATATAACTCAGACTGGATTTGTCTGAAAGAAGAAAGTCATATACACCTAGGATGACTTGAGGGTGAGTAATTTGTGGGCTAATTTTCATTTTTGGGTGAACTAACCCTTTAAGTAAAACAGGTAGGCATCTTAAAACAATGAAGAAACCTTGCTGTGATTTTGTGATGTAGATCAGTGGCTCTCAACTGATTTCGCTTCACAACATTAGACATCAAATGGCAAGTCAAAAATAGCTTATCATGAAAAATGTATTGAATTGAACAGCATGTGGTTGTATATTATTTCTATACTACGATAGTATTCATTAACATTTTGATTCAGCCTTAATTTTTATATTTTCAGTTTTTATTTTCATTTTAGTACATTTGTGATTTTTGCCTTTTTTGATATTTAAAAAAATATTTTTAGATTCAATTTATTTTTAGTTTGTTTCAGTAAGTTTTCAAGGCAACATTTCTACATTTTACCTTTACCTAAGTTTTTCATGTGATTTTTATATTAGCTTTTTTCAGTTACCAAAAAACAATTTTTTATAGTTTTAGTTAACAATAACAACACTGGTTTGGACATAAGTTTGACATCAAAAGAGATTTCTAATATATTTAAAATATTAATATTTCAGATATTTTGCTATGCTAAATGTTTAGTTAATACATTGTTTTCCCCCTGATCCACTACTGCTGATCTAAAACCATTTAGCCTCAAAAGCAGAACTGTGGAAAAACTGAAGTCACCCAAAGAACAAAACTAAACCAGTTTGTACAGATCGCTGTGCATTTTTAGCCTATAATAATATTCTTGATTTTTAGCATTGTACCTACAATGACTCTTTGTGATTCATCCCCTGAATCATATCATATATTCTCCTGATTATAACAGGCATGACCGTCAGGTGATCACTAGACTCTCTAGTTCAGCTCATAATTGTGCCTAGTCATGTTATTCAGAGCCGTCATGTGAGATTCTGCTGGCAGTCTTTCTGTGTGAAATCCTCACTAGATGGTCTTCAAGTGTATATTTTTCACTACAGCGTAGTTTAGATATTGAATCGAGTGGCAAAACATTGACACATTTAGTGAAGGCAGAACCTTTCTTGAATTCCATGCGAAAGAAGGGATAGTTCATGCAAAAGTGAACATTTTGTCATCATTTACTCTACATCATGCACTTCTAGTCCTTTGACTTTCTTCTGTGGATGATATTCAAAAACACACTTTGTTTTTCACAGAAGAGAGAAAATCACAGGCTTACAATGACGTGAAGGTGAGTAAATGATGACAATGTATTTTTGAGTGCATTATCAGTTTAAATGTCCGTTTGTTTTTTTTGTGAAGATCTGCATCTTCTGCTAATTCAGTGCTGCTCCATTCGTCTTTTAGTCTTGATACTTGATATATCATATATCACACAATTAACTGTCGTTCTGTAGAACAAAACTAATGAAATGAAATACTTATCAATATTTACATTTAATCGCAAAAATGACTTGTTTTGCTTAATAAACTTGATTTAAAACTCTTTCTGCTTTGGTTTTTATACACTTTACAGTGGACCATTTTTCCACAAATGTGTGTATGTATATATATATATAAACTTTAATATTATTAATGTTTATATATATTAATGTGTATGTGTGTGATGGTGTTGGTAGCAGATAATATAAGGGCTTTTTTTGCTTGCTTTTCAGTACATCTTATGTCCTGTGTATTTTAATTATTAATTTAATACAAGTAATTTAATAAAAATGTAGTAATTTTGTAAGTAAAACTTTTACTCCATATTCCACAAAAATACTCCATACTTCACAACAACAGTAATAAATGAGACAAAATTTTTATATTGTTGAAATATAGAGCAAGAGAGAATTCTATCTAATTCTGAAATGCGGCGTCTGTTTCTGTGCCGTTCATATAAGCATTTGGTCCCTTCGATCAGAACTCAAAGTCCCAGCCGGACTCCTCATCAGGCGGCGGCTCATCTGTGTCCTCTGGGAAACAGTCGAAATTACTGGTGTCCAAAGGCCCTTCCACCTGCGGCAAACAAACCAAACTCATTTTCTTTGGATGAAAACGCAAGATAAAGCAAAGAAACTCACTCACTCAGGACTGCAACTCTCTAAAAATATCTCAGACGGAGTAAAATGATATCAGGATTTGTGAGGTCAACTAATACTTCTTTTTATCTATCGGAGATGACTAATTCATTTTGAACATATGTATTTTTCATATCCCTCCAAGTTAAAAACAGTCCATCAAATGATTAATTTCTCTTATTCGCTGGAGAATCTCACATTTGGTATAAACGGAGAAGTCACGGTTCCTTCACGAACACCATCCCAGTTAAACCCCTCAAACCATCTGCAAGACACATCAAAACCAGCACAGCCCACACATCATGACTGTCCAATGAAATGCAGTAGTCAATATATAGTGATAATGTCAGAGCTGCATGTATCGTCTGTACTTGTGTTTCTGGATGTCCTTCACGCCATTCTTCTGGTTGCCGAGTCTCTCAGACGGATTGTCCCTGCCAGGTTATATGACACACTTTATGGCTGTTTTTCAAAATGTATTATCAAATAAAAAAAATTTTCTTAAAAAATGTGCATCATGATTTCGAAATTTCACACATGGAAGCACTGAACTGCAATGTGAAAAAAGGGAGGGGAGGGAGGGGGGGG